CTAGTTATGATCCTCTTGTTCTAAAGGAATATAATGAGTTCCTTCGACATCGCGCAAGTAAACAATCATCTCCACCAGTAGCATATGGTGCTCAACCTAATCAACCATCCAATAATGCTCATATTGCTCAAATAGAATATGAGTTCTTTCAGTATCGTGCAAATAAGAAAACGTCTCCACAAATAGTTTCAGTTGCACAACCTGATGTGTTTGTCACGAGTAATTCTTTTGATTGTGTGTCGCAATATAGTACTGTTAGAACATTGGTCGTGAACTCTGGGGCTTCTGATCATATTTCTGATAATAAATCATTTTTATCCGATATTGTTTATTCGCAATCTCTTCCAGCTATTACTTTAGCCAATGGGACCAGACAAAACCAAAAGGGGTTGGAAAAGCCAAACCCCTATCTTCTGACACCCTAGACTCTGTTTTTTATGTTCCTATTTCTCCTTTTAATCTAGCATTTGTTAGTCGTTTGACGAAATCCCTACATTGTAGCATAACTTTTTTCGATGATTTTTTTCTCATACAGGACTGCAATACGGGACAGATGATTGGAACAGAACATGAATCACAAGGCCTTTACTATCTTACCTCTTCAAATTCCCTGACAGCATGCTCCATTACAGATTCCCCAAATCTAATTCACAAACTTATGGACATCCGAGTCTATCCAAACTGCAAAAGATGGTGCCTAGTTTGTTTTGTTTATCTACATTAGATTGTGAGTCGTGTCAACTTGGGAAACACACAAGTGCTAAATTTTCTCATAGTATTGAGGGTCATTAAGAGTATATTTTTCATTTGTTCATTCTGATATTTGGGGTCCTAGTAGAGTCAATTCCACCTTAGGATTTCGTTATTTTGTTTGTTTCATTGATGATTATTCAACATGTACTTTATTTTTTCATTAGTTCATTCTGATATTAGGGGTCCTAGTAGAGGCAGTTCCACCTTAGGATTTCGTTGTTTTGTTTGTTTCATTGATGATTATTCAAGATCTACTTTGGTTTTTTTTAAAGAAAGATCGTTCTGAGTTATTTTCTATTTTCAAAAGTTTCTTTGCTGAAATACAAAATCAGTTTCGTGTTTCTATTCGTACTTCCCATAGTGATAATGCCTTAGAATACTTATCATCCCAATTTCAACAATTTATGTCTCACCACGGAATCAATCACCAAACATCTTGTCCATACACTCCTCAACAAAATGGTGTTGCAGAAAGAATAGGCATCTCATAGAGACTGCTCGCACTTTCCTCATTGAATCCCATGATCCGCTGCACTTTTAGGGCGATGCAGTCCTTTCAGCTTGTTATTTAATTAACAGAATGCCCTCTTCGTCTATTCAGAATGAAGTTCCACATTTCATACTGTTTCCTCAGTCACATCTCTATCCTATTCCCCCTCGTGTCTTTGGGAGCACATGATTTGTTCATAATTTAGCCCCAGGGAAAGATAAATTAGCTCCTCGTGCCTTCAAATGTGTCTTTCTTGGTTACTCTAGAGTTCAAAAAAGGTATCATTGTTATTCACATGATCTTCATCGATACGTTATGTCCGCTGATGTTACAGTTTTTGAGTCTCAGCCTTACGATACATCTTCTGATCATACTGACGTCTCTATGGTCTTTACCCATACCTCAGGTTTTACCTGTGCCAACCTTTGAGGGATCTACAATTACGTCTACATCTCCAGTTGCAGTGCCACCACTACTAACTTATCATCGCCGTCCACGTCCAACCCTAGTCCCAGATGATTCATGTCATGCGCCAGACCCTGCTCTTAATGCGGAGTTGCCTCTACCTAAACCACCGCTTGCACTTCAAAAAGGTATACGATCTACTCGAAATACTAACCCGCATTATACCTTCTTAAGTTATCATCGTCTATCATCACCCCATTATGCCTTTGTGTCGTCTTTGTCCTCTGTTTCCATTCCTAAGACTACAGGTGAAACACTTTCTCATTCTGGATGGAGGCAGGCTATGGTTGATGAGATGTCTGCTTTACATAAGAGTGGTACTTGGGAGCTTGTCTCCCTTCCTGCAGGTAAATCTACTGTTGGTTGTCGTTGGGTTTATGCAGTCAAAATCGGTCTAGATGGTCAGGTTGATCGACTTAAGGCTCGCCTTGTCGCCAAAGGGTATACTCAGATATTTGGGCTAGATTATAGTGACACTTTCTCTCCTGTGTCTAAAATAGCATATCTTCGTCTTTTTCTATCTATGGTTGTCGTTCATCATTGGCCTCTTTATCAGTTGGACATAAAGAATGCTTTTTTGCATGGTGATCTTGATGGAGAAGTCTTTATGGTTTTGTTGCTCAGGGGAAGTCTAGTAGCCTTGTATGTCAATTGTGTGGTCACTCTATGGTCTGAAACAGTCTCCTCGAGCTTGGTTTGGGAAGTTTAGCACAGTAATTCAGGAGTTTGGCATGACTCGTAGTGGAGCTGATCACTCTGTGTTCTATCGACATTCTGCACCAAGTCGATGTACTATTTGGTTGTTTATGTTGATGATATTGTTATCACGGGTAACGATCAAGATGGTATCACCGATTTAAAGCAACATCTTTTTAAGCACTTACAGACTAAAGACCTTGGCAGATTCAAGTATTTTCTAGGTATTGAGGTTGCTCAATCTAGATCAGGCATTGTTATCTCTTAACGCAAGTATGCCTTAGACATTCTTGAGGAGACAAGAATGATGGGATATAGACCTATTGACACTCCGATGGATCCGAATATTAAATTTCTTCCGGGACAGAGGGAGAACTTAGTAATCTTGAAAGGTATAGACGACTTGTTGAAAAATTGAATTATCTCACAGTGACTAGGCCTGACATCTCTTTTCCCAGGAGTGTTGTAAGTCAGTTTATGACTTCCCATTGTGATAGTCATTGGGAAGCAGTTGTTCGTATTCTTCGATATATAAAGTCAGCCCCCGACAAACGACTACTCTTTGAGGATCAAGGTTATGAGCATATCACTGGATATACAAACGCTGATTGGGCAGGATCAACCTCTGAAAGACGTTCGACAGCCGGATATTGTGTTTTAGTTGGAGGTCATTTGGTGTCGTGGAAGAGTATGAAACAAAATGTGGTTGCTCAATCTAATGCAGAATCAGAACATCAAGCAATGGCGACAGCAACTTGTGAGTTAGTTTGGCTCAAACAGTTACTGGGAGAACTAAAATTTGGCAAAATTGATCAGATGGAACTTGTGTGTGATAATCAAGCGGCTCTTCATATTGCATCAAATTCAGTGTTTCATGAAAAGACTAAGCACATTGAGATTGACTGTCACTTTGTCAGAGAAAAGATACTCTCAGGAGATATAGTTACAAAATTTTGAAGTCAAATGATCAGCTTGCAGATATGTTCATCAAGTCTCTCACATGACCTCGTATTAATTAGATTTGTAACAAGCTAGGTGCATATGATTTGTATGCACCAGCTTGAGAAGGAGTGTTAGAATAGGAATAAGTATTTCTTATTTAGAATAGGAATTAGAATAGGAATTCTAGTTGGAAAAGGTTTCCAATGTAGTGTAGAAATAGGGTCTTCATGTAACAATTTAGATGCGCAATTCAATAATATTTTCTCCAATATTTCTCATGGTTTCTAGAGCACAACTATTGATACACTTCCTTGATTGTATAAACTCCTTTCTGGTGTCAGTTGTCTGAAGATTAATGTGTCACTGTTGTGGTCTAGCAAGAAGGTCTACCAGATCATTCACTTTCCAATCATGCATATTCCTTCTAAATCTCAGATCCCAATTGATCCCTTCTCTATTAGCAGCAATAACATGATTGGGATCTTGAGCAATTCTAAACAGATATGGGAAATCCGCCTGAAGAGTGTTATTTCCAAAACATTTGTCTGTCCAAAATTTTAGGAGTAAACCATTGCCCAATTCAAAGTAAGCGTTCCAATCAAATGTACCCACAACATCCTAATACTCTTCCACAGTCCCAATCCTTAAGTAAGTTTAGTAACATTTGTGCACCATTGATTTCAGCCTTCCATGCTTAGCTATGATAACCTAGAACTTATGATGTGTCATTCATTATGCATGCTCTGGGTGTTATGGAAAGTGAAGAATAACACATTGATGGTGAAGAAAATCCAGTGCACCAGCTATAGTACTTTCTCCCAATCAGTTTTTGTTCTCATGGTAAGCAAGTGGATGTAAGTGATATGGACCAGATACAAGACCTTATCAATTCCCCATATATCCACAAAGAGGACTTCTGTAACTTTTACGCATTCTCATGGGGGGCAGATCAAAATTTTTGAGTTTACGAGTTCTGGGTTCTTGATAAAATGTATACATATTAAATGCATTTCTTAAAACAAACACGGGGTATTGGCCAAACCTATTCGGTTCTGCCAAACCCATAGTTAGAACTCTAGATCCGCCCCTAATTCTCATGACAATTTTCTTGGTGTTGGCAATTAATGAAGTACAGTATTCTACTAATTTGGTGTGTTGTTAATATTTTGATCAAAAAGAATATTAACTTAGTATGTTCTCTACTAAGCTAGGGTAAGGTTTGCGTAGACTTCTTTGCTTTGCACCGAATTGAACCACATGCTACCCTCCCCACTATACTGGATTCTATTGTTGTTTGTCTGTCAAAACCCTCTTCTTTTTTTATAACTGTGGTGTATGGGTTAGCTTGCACACACCTCGACTAATTCCCAAGATACTTGCTTCCTCCCACAAACAATAGATACCAAGTAACTCTGTCCACCAAGATTAGGAAGAACGGAAAGAAATCAAGGTTTTTGTCTCCACTAGGATTAGAACAAGAGAGTACATGATTCTCGACTTGCTTCATTGACCACTTGGGTGTCTATCAAACACCCTTTTTAAGGAACCCACATAGTTATTTCCCGAGCATGATTGTGTAGCAATTTAACAAATAGAAAAAAACATGCAAGTTCATGTCTGTTAGCAAATAGTAATTTACATAAAATCAACCTACAAGCATTAGAACATTAAATGTGGCCTGGCCTTCAGAAATATGGGTATCTATCTCTGACTGCATGTCTGGGTCTGCAAATACCAAAACATTCATCAAAACGAGTTGAAAGAGCACACAAGAAGCAAGAAGAGAAACATGTTATTATTCAAAGTGGACAACAGAATCACATGCTGACAGTGAAAGATAATTACCACATGTTATATTGTTTTGATCATTGGCAAAAAGCCTGACAAGCTCCCCCTGACAATAACAAAAATTAATACAAGATCTACAAGATAATATGCATTAAAAATTATTATACGAACACTTAAAACTAAGAACATATAGAAAACAACTAAGATCAATTAGAAGATCATCATTCTGTAATGACCGTCCCGTCATTACGAAAGTACAAAAAGAAATTGGGTGAAAAAAAAGGTAGTCGGTCCGGACCGATATAGCGAGATTGGGGTCTGATTGGGGCCACTATAACGGGGTAAATTGTTGTAAATCTAGGGAAAACCCCCCAAATCGCCAATTATCCCCCAAAAACCGTTTTGGAGAAGAAAAAGGCGACCTAGGGAAAATTTCAACAGTTTTTCATCAAAATATTCATAAAGGTCAGCAATCAAATCCTCTACTTTTGTAGTTTGATTACTAGATCTTAGAAAATATAATTATGGCCTTATGAATGATTTGAATTCATTCTAAGGTGGGGAAAATCAGGGTTTGTGAGGATTCTAGGGTGAAAATCAAGAGTGGTTACAAAGGGGTTTTGAGGAGGAGGAAGTCTGGGAGAGCATCACGTCTTTTGCAGTTGACAAGGCTCCAGGCCCATCAAAATTTTCAGGCCACAATGGGCAGATTCAGGCAAGATTCTGGCAAAATCATAATTTTCAGGCCACTGTGGGCAGATTCCGACAGCTTCCAATATTTTCAGACTACTGTAGCACTTCCGGCAGTTTCCGGCATACATACCACAGTCTATGTACAATAGACGAGGGAGAGAACGTTTTGGAAAACCTCAATCCAGGTGTAGTCATTGTCATAAACACACACTCGTGACATATTATATTTTGCATGGTCCACCACCCTGTTATGATCCTGTTGTTTTGAAGGAATATAGAGAGTTCCTTCGGTATCGTGCAAATAAACAAACGTCTCCACAAGCAGCTTCGGTTGCACAACCTTATGTTTCTGTTGCAGGTAATTCTTTTACTTGCACTCTTGGATCATGGGTAATAGACTCAGGAGCTTCTGATCATATCTTTGGTAATAAATCACTTGTCTGATATAGTTTATTCACAATCTCTTCCAGCTATTACTTTAGTCAATGGGATCCAAACAAAACCAAAAGGGGTTGGAAAAGCCAAACCCGTATCTTCTGTCACCCTAAGACTCTGTTCTTTATGTCCCTGGTTCTCCTTTTAATCTAGCATCGGTTAGTCGTTTGACGAAATCACTACATTGTAGCATAACTTTTTTTGATGATTTTTTTCTCATTCAGGATAGCAATACAGGACAGACGATTGGAACAGGGCATGAATCACAAGGCCTTTACTATATTACCTCTTTCTAATCCCTAAAGCATGCTCCGGTACAGATTCCCCAGATCTAATTCACAAACGTTTGGGACATCCAATTCTATCCAAACTGCAAAAGACGGTGTCTAGTTTGTCTAGTTTATCCACATTAGATTGTGAGTCGTGTCAACTTGGGAAACACACTCGTGCTACATTTTCACATAGTACTGAGAGTCGTTTAGAGTTTATTTTTTCATTAGTTCATTCTGATATTTGGGGTCCTAGTATAGTAAGTTCCACCTTAGGATTTCGTTATTTTGTTAGTTTTATTGATGATTATTCGAGATGCACTTAGGTTTTCTAAATGAAAGATCGTTCTGAGTTATGTTCTATATCCAAAGGTTTCTTTGCTGAAATACAAAATCAGTTTGGTGTTTCTATGCGTACTTCCCGTAGTGATAATGCCTTAGAATACTTATCATCCCATTTTCAGGATTTATTTCTCACCACGGAATTATTCACCAAACATCTTGTCCATACACTCAACAAAATGGTGCCGCAGAAATAACGAAGAGGCATCTCATAGAGATTGCTCGCACACTCCTTATTGAATCCCATGTTTTGCTGCATTTTTGGGGCGATGCAGCCCTTTCATCTTGTTTTTAATTAACAAAATGCCCTTTTCTTCTATTCAAAACCAGGTTCCATATTCCATCCTATCCCCCCTCGTGTCGTTGGGAGCAAATGCTTTGTTCATAATTTAGCCCCAGGGAAAGATAAATTAGCTCCTCGTTCCCTCAAATGTGTCTTTCTTGGTTACTCTGGGTTCAAAAAGGGTATCGTTGTTATTCACAATGTTACATTTTTTGAGTCACATCCTTATTATACATCTTCTGATCATCCTGATGTATCTATGGTCTTACCCATACCTCAAGTTTTACATGTGCCAACCTTTGAAGAATCTACTGTTACTTCTACATCTCCGGTTGTAGTGCCACCACTACTAACTTATCATCGTCGTCCACGTCCAGCCCTAGTCCCAGATAATTCATGTCATGCGCCAGACCCAGCTCCTACTGCGGACTTGCCTCCTCCTAGCCAACCACTTGCACTTCAAAAAGGTATACGATCCACTCGAAATAGTAACCCACATTATACCTTCTTAAGTTATCATCATCTATCATCACCTCATTATGCCTTTGTGTCGTCTTTGTCATTTATTTCCATCCCTAAAACTACAGGTGAGGCATTTTCTCATTCTGGATGGAGACAGGCTATGGTTGATGAGATGTCTGCTTTGCATAAAAGTGGTACTTGGGAGCTTGTCTCCCTTCCTGCAGGTAAATCTACGGTTGGTAGTCGTTGGGTTTACGCGGTCAAAATTGGCCCAGACGGTCAGGTTGATCGACTTAAGGCTCGCCTTGTTGCCAAAGTGTATACTCAGATATTTGGGCTAGATTATACTGACACTTCCGCTCCCGTGGCTAAAACAGCATATGTCCACCTTTTTCTATCTATGGTTGTCGTTCGTCATGGCCACTTCATCAGTTGGACATTAAGAATGTTTTTTTGCATGGTGATCTTGAGGAAGAAGTCTATATGGAGCAACCACTTGGTTTTGTTGCTTAGGGGGAGTCTAGTAGCCTTGTATGTCGATTGTGTAGGTCACTCTATAGTCTGAAATCTCCTCGAGCTTGGTTTGGGAAGTTCAGCACAGTACTTCAGCAGTTTGGCATGACTCGTAGTGGAGCTGATCACTCGGTCTTTTATCGGCATTATGCACAAAGTCGATGTATCTATTTGGTTGTTTACGTTGATGATATGTTATCACCGGTAATGATCAAGATGGTATCACTGATTTGAAGCAACATCTCTTTAAGCATTTCCAGACTAAAGACCTTGGCAAATTGAAGTATCTTCTAGGTATTGAGGTTGCTCAATCTAGTTTAGGTATAGTTATTTCATAACGCAAGTATGCCTTGGACATTCTTGAGGAGACAAGAATGATGGGATGTAGACTTATTGACACTCCTATGGATCCCAATGCTAAACTCCTTCCAGGACGAGGGGAGCCATTTAGTAATAATGAAAGGTATAGACGGCTAGCTGGAAAGTTGAATTATCTCACAGTGACTAGACCTAACATCTCTTTTCCTGTGAGTGTTGTAAGTCAGCTTATGACTTCCCCTAGTCAAAGTCATTGGGAAGCAGTGGTTCATATTCTGCGATATATAAAGTCAGCTCTTGGGAAAGGACTACTCTTTGAGGATCAAGGCCATGAGCATATCATTGGATATACAGACGCTGATTGGGCAGGATCACCCTCTGCTAGACTTTCAACATCCGGATATTGTGTTTTAGTGGGAGGCAATTTGGTGTCGTGGAAGAGTAAGAAACAGAATGTGGTTGCTCAATCTAGTGCGGAATCAGAATATCGAGCAATGGCGACAGCAACTTGTGAGCTAGTTTGGATCAAACAGTTACTGGGAGAACTAAAATTTGGCAAAATTGATCAGATGGAACTCGTATGTGATAATCAAGTGGCTCTTCATATCGCATCAAATCCAGTGTTTCATGCAAGGACTAAGCAAGATTGACTGTCACTTTGTTAAAGAAAAAATACTCTCAGGAGATATTGTTGCAAACTCCGTAAAGTCAAATGATCAGCTTGCAGATACCTTCACCAAGTCCCTCATAGGTCCTCGTATTAATTACATTTGTAACAAGCTAGGTACATATGATTTGTATGCACCAGCTTGAGAGGGAGTCTTAGAATAGAATAAGTATTTTTCTACTTGAAATAGGAATAGGAATAGGAATACGAATAAGAATAAGATTCCTAGTCGGAAAAGGACTCTAATGTAGTGTCTATAAATAGGATCTCAATGTAAATTTAGATACAGAATTCAATAATATGTTTTTCCCATATATTTCTCACAGAACTCATAGATGAGCATACGGACGGTCCAAAAAGGCAATTAAGGACGCCAGTCTAGATACCCTAGAAGGCAATCGACGGCTAGCTTAAAGACAATCTACTAGCCGCAAGTCAATCAACAGTCGTGGATTGGGTCACAGCTCATGTCAGCAGAACAGATCGTTATTTTTAGGATTCCAACTTTGTGGGTAACTATAAATACACATTTTAGGCTTCTTTTTAAAATAGTTGACAATTTAGTTTCGTTTAGCTTTAGTTTTTGTCGCACGTTTTTGGACAAGTTCCAAGGTTTTTCTCTTTATAGTTTCTTGAACGAAGAACATCATTATTTTAAATTTTTTGACAAAGGTAACAAAGAATATCGTTATTCTTTCAAGCTATTAATATTCGAAGTAAGTTTATAAATTCTTTTTTACTTATACTCTTGTTGTTTTACTTTCAGTATGAGTAGCCAAACTATCTATTGAGGTTGTGTGTTCTATGATATTACGGTTTTAAGATTTCCAACTTTTTCTCGTTCTTAATTAATTGGTTGGTGGTTGCAAACATTAACATACACCATAATATCTTAGTTTTGCTTAGGAAAGTCGATAAGGATTTGTTGCTCCTGGGAGAAATTGAGAGATGGTGCAGGAAATAAGTGTATATGGGTAAAAAAACAATTCCTATGCAATAGCTCGCAAACCATACAGGAAGATAACCCGCAAAAGGCAAGTCTAGTGCGACGAGCTCGACCTAAAAGGCAAACCACACAGGAGAGGACACCCGCACAAGGAAAGTCTGGTGGGATGAGCTCGACCCACTGTCGCTGGCAAAGGGGTTTCGAACTTGAGACCTCCAACATGGAAGTCCCAAGCCCAAACCACTGGGCCACCCCAAAGGGTGGAACTAAGAGGATATCTAGAACCTGAATATCTAAAATTGCATGAAAGTCGATAAGAAAAGTTTCTCATTGTGGGGACACAACCTTAGCATCTTCATATCATAAGCTTACAATCTTATTACTTACTGCAATCTTAACTTAGTTATACAAAATCTCGTAAACTTTACGGAATAGAAATCGACTCTTAATTTTGTATTCGTCCGAATAGTAATAAGTTTTCTCCCTATACCTTAGAGGATTCAACCCTGGGTTACTATATTTGCATACAACCGTGTTACATCACCTGAAGGTGTATCTTCAGCGTATCGAAAAACATCCCACATTAATACAGCACAATGGTATGCTCTTTATTGTTACAAGTATACTAGCATACCATAGATCAGATTTTCTTGTAACTAGATACAGTAAACTTGAAAATCATTTAGTGGTCCACAATCCTATGAAAGCGTGCTAGAATAGAATGTAAGAGGCAGCCCATGATTTTGGGTTAATAGCTTAGTGGAAGTATTTAATTTCAAATTGAAAGCCACTTGTAATTTGTGGACCAAGCAGTTTCAACAGTCAAATATTTTCTAGAGAGAGATATAGTATAGCAAAGAGGTTGCATGATTTCTCCACTTTAAGTTGGCAGCATACAACTTGCTTTTAGTATAAATAAAGTTGAAAAGATTTAAGGACAGAAGAGCAAGATCAACTACCTGATGTCCCTGATCATCCATTGGTATGCATTCGACAGCTATAAGCTTATCAATATCATCAGCAGTAACTACATATTCAGGATTTGTGGCACCTGAAGATAATGAAAGATGATAGTCGAGTAGGTGTTGAAGCTAAACAAGGATGGAGTTTAAGGCGATCTCTTTAATGATGTACAATAAGACACGTAAAATAAATAATAAAAACGAGGCATGAGAACCACTGCATAAAGGTTTAGACTTACCCTCAATATACTGCCTTGTACCATCAGGATAATGACGGACCCACTGACATTTGGAAATGTAAGATCGGAACAATATACTTTAGATATCAGTGGGCAAAGTTCCTTTTAGGAATTAAATTGCAAACTGAATAGCATTTAGACTCGCTACCTGGAACATGCAAAGAGAAGTTCCACGTACAGGAAACCCACAACCCAAAAGTTTACATCCTGGTTTAGCTTCTCCGATTATTTGAAATACTTCTATTCCAGGACTTTCCCCTGTGATAGGATTTAGCATTAGGATCCCTACAAGTTTATGTACCAACTTTAAAGACAGATAATTATATTACCTTCTGAACTAAAAGAACCACCAATATCATTTCCCACTGTAGGAGGATTATGACGGTTTTCATTGTTGCTCTCTTCAAATCTCTCATTCACCCCATTTATAGCAAACAAGTTATCTTTAGCGGGACCTGAAACATCCCTGCAGTGTCAAACTGTCAGAGCAAGAAAAAATTGTGAACTGCGGTAATAGAAAATACTCCAATCACAAACTCATCAACCCTCACTTAGCCATTGATCAACTAAAGTTCATCCCAGCCTGTCACTTCAACTATGGTCTTAAAGAGGGGTGTTGTATGGGTACTATTTAATACGTAGGGCTGAAGGAACTAGTACATGGATACCTCTAAATCCACATGCCGGTTTCTTTGGGCCAACCAGTTATTGAGAAATGCAGCAGAGAGTTATCACTTGCAAGAACGGGTTGTATATGAAAGTTCAATTAGCAATGTAAGAGAAGAACCTTCTTTTCCTTCTTATAATGTTAACGAGTGCAAGCCCTAATAGGGTGTCTATAGGGAGATTGCTAGGAAGGGATAGCATTCTTTTGAGAATTATCTGCTTCCTAGAAGATGATAGCAGAAAAATAGAATTTAGGAAACATCAATGTTAGATGTGCAGGCCATCAGGGTTTACAAAGAATGCTCATGACAAAAAAATGGACCAAATAACTTAATTTTTTTTTGACAAAATGACCAAATGACTTAATTCTTTCCATTGCTTTATTTCCTCTATCTAAAACTGGGGTGCATACTATAGTTTTGCAACATGGAGCAGTTGGCTTTTCATGTGATTACCAGTACCAGACTACCAGTTATCCATTTAAAATGAGTTACAATTTCAAGAAAAAAGGCCTGGAACTGGAAAGTGATCACTCTAATAAACCACATATTTTTTTTATCCTATTAGTTTTTTATTTATTTCCTTCCAGGTTGTTCTTGTGGGAGATGATATGAGGATGAGAAGGACAACCAACAAAAATGGCTGTTCAATTTGCTCATTTGCAGAAAAAACTTTTAGCACATCATGCACCAATGGACGGAAAAAAGGCTGCTGAACCCTACTTTTGTTGCTAAGAGAGGTGTTAATTGGATATGCATTAATCAATAAGTTATTTTTAAGGTGGTTTTTGGTAGGATGGAAGTTCTGGATATTGAGTTTAATGCCTGTTATCAGCATGGGTCCAAGGAGATATATATGATTCATAGTTTAATCCACTTTATAGAAGAACCCCTGTTATGGTCTTAAGGATGTTATCCTTGAATGACAGATCTTTGATACTGTACATCTATTTTGCATTAGGAGGACCATGATTACAAATGTAAAAACAGATCCCTTGTCCTTGTAAATGAACGTAGACAGTGATTGCCTAAGAAAGAGGATGTAAATGGTTTCATTCTTAGTCAAATCCTTGTTCGTCTATTAGCTTTCGGGTCTTATATTTGGCGCAGTGTAGAACAGTTTGGTACCGCAGAAGGCTCATAAACTTGAGTTCATCAATTCAAATCCTCTCCAACAACATGTTCTATTTCGATTAGCATATGAATCTTATAGTACAGACTAAGACGAAAACTGAAGTCTCTCAGAAAGAGACAAATTTAGACTTCTCCAAGTAAATGAAGACCCATCCTTCCAGATTCAAAGATGTCATTGTTCCACTCACATTGATCAGTTTTTTATCCCTGTGAAATATCCAAAATATTATACTCTCTCCGTCCCATTTCTTTGAAGGTATTAGAGTGGGCACGGTGAAAAGAGTTTTTATGCTACCAATGTGGCTTTAATCCCTAATAAGGTTGGCGCAGTAGAGTTAGGGACTTCAAGCCCGTTAGTCTCATAGCTTATGTTGCTCGGACTCTTCAGATATGCCCCCTGGTGCGTGTCGGATCTTCCAAATGTAGTGCATTTTTTGAGGATCTGACACAGGTGAAGCAACATTTTTGGAGTGTTCTAGCGACATATAAGGCATAGGCGGTGCGTACAAAGATTATTTCCAAGATGCTGATAGAGAGACTTAAGGTAATACACAAGAAGCTAGTCACCCAACAAATAGCCCCATACATCCATAAAGGTTGACAGGCTTCAATGGGAAATTAAAAATATGCTTATCATGGAAGACGAGTACAAGAATTAGTCCAAGAATTATGGCCAAAATTCAGCAAAGTGCCACATGTATTTCATGGTCTAAGTCCAAGAATAGGAAGATTGGCGCCACATGGGGCCCACGTTGAGGGACCCACATGGAAGGACCCAAGAGGAGCCCAAAAAGGGATGCATAACATGTGAGGAAAAAGTCCAACAAGAGTTAAATCATACGCCCAAAAATGGGCTGAAAACATACCAACAATTGGCAAGTAATTTTGGTAGCAAATTTGCCACATCTCTCTTATACTTATTACCGAGTTTTTGACATTAATTTCTATTTGTTTTCCTAGTTTGAAGTTCCCTAGTTTAAATGTTTCCAATTTGATTTTCATATTTATTATTTTCATAGAAGTAGGTTTAGAAACTCATGCTATTTGGGAAAGATTTCATCTATATATAGGGGTAGATTTTAATATTTTTAATTACAACATATTTTAATATTATTAGACAGGTTTCTCTTCTTTACACTTTGTGTGTCTTCGTGTGCGGTGACTTTGAATTTATCTTGCAACATTATCAGAAACATTCTTTAGGAGGAAAGATTATCTTTTAACTTGATATATTTGGTTTCTAGTAAAGTAAATTAAAGAAGGTAATTAGTGTCTCTAATTTCTTTGAAATAGGGATCTAGATCACCTTTTGATCTAAGTTCTTGAATTCACTCTATTAGTATTACCATTATCCAAGTTTATGAAGATCAAAAATGTGTGAAAGAAACAATGAAAATTTTGAAAGAGAAGAATGAGGGGAGTAAGGGGTGCATGTTGACATCCCAAGAGAGGAAAAAGGAGAGGTTGTATACTGTGGAGGGAATGGGATGTAAAGTGAGAATGTGAGATAAGAGGAAAAGAAAGGACATGACCAGGAGAGTAAAACGGAGAGGGATGATCGTGAAGTACAGAGACAAACAAGAGAGTTTGAGTGAGATTATTTTTTATTCTAACACTAAATTTCTACTTATTCTAGTTGTTCTCACTCTCGTGTAGGTACTCATGGGAAAATTTACATTGAAAACCCATCATTGGATGAACTTAATCCTAAGGTAGTCGAAACAAAACGTTCCATGTACATGTTGACGAGAAGGATAAAGGTAAAGAGAATTATTTTGGGCTTGTCCAAGATAGGAATCATGACAGGAAGTTCAAAAAGACAGTTGTGGATCTAACACCAATGAGCAAGGAAAAATGAGGTGATGTTGTTTCTTTGCTACATAAGATCAAGTACAGTATGTATAATTGGTTTATTCACATTCTTGGTAGTTCTACAACACCTGAAGTTTTTCTGTAGGTAATGAACTACAATTCTTATGTTGGTAACTTCATTAATTTTGAGGATGAAGAAATTTTGCCATAGTAAGTCATTCCATCCTAGCAGTGCGAATGCAAGCATTCTGTGATTTTAGTCCATACACAGCCAAAAAAAAAGAATTTCCACAGATATAGGGACATGGAAAGCAACATGAAACAACCATGAAAAGTTCGTCAATTTTGCAGCCTGACCTTTCAGTATTAGATGAGATTTCCAAATGACTCCCTATATTTGCTTGCTGATGCATCTCACGATTGAACAGCAAGCTTTCAGCTGGCAAATGTTTACTGGCTTGCACATCTCCTGATCCAGTTGCAGCTGCTTCATTATGTTGTCCATCAATGTACTGTTTAAAGGCTGGATATTCATTCATACCCTGAGAGAAGAAAACAAGACAATTCTTTTACCAAGAGGAAAGAAAAAAATGACTGCTTATTGTTGGAATAAGAAGCAAATCCATCTAAAAGATGAAACAGATTGTAAACAATACCATAGAACCACTTGGAAGTTGATTGTTTATGGAACTAGAATGAGGTGACTCCATATCAAAAGATCCACCTCTAGCATGATTAGTCACCATGGAATTTAATTGTGCAATTTTTGCCTGTTAACCAACATTGACTCATTGTCATTTTACTTAAAAATAGAATCTCCAGCATGTATGTTTTAAACTTCATAGCAGAAAAACAAAGTTAATAACCAAAGCAAGTTTTTCAGGTAAGTAGCAGTAAGGCATGCTTTTTTTTTATGACTGTGGTGCCCGGCCAGCTTTCGCACCTTGACTAATTTCACGGATACCTACCACCTCCCACCATCAGCAGGTACCAGGTAATTTTGTACACCAAGTCTAGGACCGACGGGAAGAATCTTTTAGTGTTTTTTGTCTCTACTGGGAATTGAACCTGAGACCTTATGGTTCTCAACCACTTCATTGACCCATACCCTTGGGTGCAGCACTAAGGCATCCTACCAAAAAATTTAAACCGAATAAAGCTCCCCCATTTACAAGAGCAGCTTTTAAAAGTGCTAGACCCAAAAGTTTATGGTATTTATCAGAAGGTGGTCTTAGATTTCAAAAGTTCAGTGTGGCTTCCAGTGTGCGGTCCCCATTAAGAAAGGATCTCGGCAAATATGAAGGTTTTTGTTGAAGAACTAGTTACACTTCTAATAATCTCATATGGAGACATGTATCTCTCTTATGGGGAAAGGATAACACACCACTACAGCAAATCATCTGTCATAGATAGCTAACAGGAAGTAACACAAAGATCAGTCATTTTACTGGGAAGGAATACATCAATATACCAAACTATCTGCCATAGATAGCAAATGGAAGGTAAACACAAAAGTCACTCACTTTATCAGGAAATGACATCATGGCAATGCAACAAACCGTCTCTGTCATACACTGCTGCTTAGTGCATTCTGCTTTGGCAAAAGAAGGATGTTGTGGATCCCTTTTAGTTAGAAATTTTTAAGACTGACTGAGTATTATTAGTTGGTATAATGGTGTTCTCTGCATGGGAACCTACATTAGCCTATATATCAATATATGCACAGGTTTTGCAGACGAACAGATTATATGCTAGGACATTCTTCTCACTGCTTCAGTTGAATGGTGAGCTCTGCATGCCTCCTATGGAAACTCCTCATTAGTTAATAGTTATCGCTTATTTTTATTCATTCATTATTTATTTATGTTGAGGATTAGCCAGTGAGCTAGTGTCATGTGCAATTCGATAGTTCTTCATACTTAGAGGCCTCATAGACATGTTTTAGCACCGGTTTTGTAGAGAGAAAGATGAAGTTGGAAAACCATATCTAGAGGTTGTTAGAATAAGAATAGGTATACTACACAATCCTACTTAGAATAGGAAAAGGAATAGGAATAGGAAAAGGAAATAGTATCCAACTTTTTAAAGGATCGTATTCCAGTGTCTGTAAATAGGGTCTTTGTATAATAATGTAGACACAAAATTCAATAATATTTTTCTCATATATTTCTCACATTGTATCAAGGCCTCAACGGACTTGGTAAGAGAATCAAAGATTTTCCCCGGTCGGTAGGTGGCTATTACCCATATATTGTTGCCTGTTTAGCCAACAATTATGTTAGCAAAAGTTCACCTTGTATCTTTCAAGTGACTTTCTCATATCTAATTTGTGTAGCACTGTGCCATCATTTTGATGATTACTTTCTTATATCTAACTTGCGTAGCACTGTGACATCTTTATGGTGACATCTTTTTCATATTTAATTTGTATAGCACCGTGCCATCTTTCCGGTCGCTACTTCTTCATATTTAATTTGTGTAGTAATATGTCATCTTTCTGGTGACTACTTTTTTTCATATCTAATTTATGTAGCACCGTGCATCATTCCGGTGACTATTTTCTCATATCTAATTTGAATAGCACTGTGACATCTTTCCGGTGAGTTATTTTTCATGTCTGACTTGCGTAGCACCGTTCTTTTTGGTGACAACTTTCTTATCTGTGTAGGGTCGTGCAATTATTCTGACCCACCAATATAGTTTTTTATTTATCAATAGGGTCTCATCATTCCGACCCATGATTTTATTTCATAGATTGTGACCACCTTTAGCCTTCAAATCTAATACTCTGATGTATGAGCATTTTCCAGCCAGTTTTTCAGTGATTTTCCTATTTAATTTCGGCTTATCTATTGATTCCAAAGGCGATCCATATACTTCATACCAGATTTTGAGCACTTTCAGGAGACCGTTGCATCATGAAGAACTCTATATGGAGCAACCACCTAATTTTGTTGCTCAGGCCAGTTACTTTTTTTTTCGAGAAAAGGATAACTTAATATTCACACCAAACAATTCATCATCCAAAAAAATGATGAATTGGAAACTTACATAACCCAGGAGGGTATTTTTACAAGTTTTCTATAAAATCAACTAAATTTTCTATCTCCTCTACCAGTTTCTATTCACACCAAAAATACAAAAGGCTTATATGATTTATTCTAATATTTTGTAAGTTTCTGTTGCGACCATCAAAACACCTTCTTTCTTTCCGTAAGGTCTACCATATACTTTGATCGGATAGTTCTCCATCGATGCTCTTTTCTTCCTCTGTTCCCAATACCTTCCCAATTGCTTAGAAGTTCCATTGTTGTCTTAGGCATCACTCAATCAACTCCTAGCAGACACAAAAACATGTTCCATAAACTCATAGCTCATTGGCAAGCTTCAATACTGTAAAAAGCTTGCTCAGTTCATGCATTGTCCTAACCAAGATCACTGGAAGGTGGTTAAACGCTTGCTCAGGTAGCTCAATAAAACTTCCTCCTTGTAGTATTCAAGTGCCTAAGGAGCAAAGTCCAAGGTTGGTTGCTTATATTGACACTGACTGTGCAGGAGACCCTATTGATCACACCTCCACTACTGGTTAAGTGGTTTATCTTGGGAGCCCTTCTTGGTCCTCCAAGAAGTAGCGCTCAGCTTCACATTCTTCTACAGAGGCTGAATATCGTGTTGTAGCAGCTACTGCTACAGAAATTAATTGGCTAGACAATCTTTGTCAAGAACTTCAGTTTCCTCTCACTAAAATTCCCAAAATCATGTGTGACAATGTTAGTGCAACATACATTTGCCAGAACCCCGACATCCACAGCAAAATGAAACATATTGCGATTGATTCCACTTCGGGAACAAGTTCAGAACAACACTCTTGAAGTGAAACATTTACACTCTGCTAAGCAGGTTGCGGACATACTCACCAAGCCACTTCCGCGTGCTTCATTTGAACAAGTTTTCAACAAGTTGGGTGTTGTCAATGTCACCACCAACTTGCAGGGGCATAACAGCGAAACAGACCTATTGTAACTACTTTTTGTTATTTGTTCCTAGATCTTAGGGATCTTTTACTTCTTTTCTAATCATAGGACTTCGTTCATACAGAGAACAATTGAGACTTATTCTGATTGTAGTTAGGTATCATCCTTTATATACCCTATCATGTATCACAGAATAAACGACGATCATTCAATTAGCTATTCCTTTTTTGTCGAGCTCCCAGTAACAAGATTTCACTGTAAACACTCCCTTGTTGTGTAGTTTCCATCTAAGTTTGTCAGGCTTCGTGGATAAAGTAGGGTTTGAGTAGGGCACTTCCAGCAGATTGGCCACTTCTCCAATTTCCCAATCATTTAGTGCTCTTGTAAATACTAGGTCCCATCCTTGTTGGCTCCAAACATTGGATACTCTAGCATTCCATGTCAATTAGAAAAATCACTTATGGTCTGAAATTTCCAGCTTGTTTTGGAAAGTTCAACACTGTAATTTTATCACTCTTTGTTTGTCGGCATTATGCATCAAATTCAGTATTTCATCAGAAGACTAAGCAAATTGAGATTGACTGTCAATTTTGTGAAGTCGAGTTATCTGATATCTCACCAAGCCCCTCATCGGTATTTGTATTAATTACATTTGTAACACGTTAGGTACATACAATTTGTATGCACTAGCTTGAGGGGGAGTGTAAGAATAGGAATAGATATATACAATCCTTCATAGAATAGGAACACAAATAGGAATAGTACATAGTATCCTACTAGTTAAAGGATTATACTGTAGTGTCTATAAATAGGGTATTAGTGTAATAATGTAGACACAACAATTCAATAAATTTTAGGGTATTTGTGTAATAATGTAGACACAGCAATTCGATAAATTTTTTGAAACTTATAACAATTCAATATATTATCCTATATTTCTCACAGAGGCAATTTTAAGGACACGTAATATTATGTGGCAGCCAAATGGTTAAGCAAAAGATTTTGCGGCTGCGCGGTATAGTTTCCGAGGAGAAATTTCAATTGCAATAACTTGCCGCAAAAAAATCCGAAGTGTTATTTCTGCAAACTTTTTCTAGTTTTGTATTGGATTATAAATAGGTTCTTTCTTGTATTTTTTAGGTATCTTTGAATTAGAAAATTCTGGAAAGAGAATTCTGGTTACTTGGGATGTAAGCTACAGCGATTATGAAGGACTCCACCAAGCTTGTTTGTCATTCAACTTCAACTACTATCAAATATTCTTTACCCAATATGAGTTCTATCATAATTTCTTTTTTTATGCTTTATTATGAGTAGCTCGACTCATATCTAGGAGTGATCCAAATCTATTTTGTTTGATTAATGGGTGTTCAATTATTAGATTTATATTGATTAAGTCTATTATTTTCTAATTGAATCCATGCTTATACAAATTGTGTGGAAGTATAAACTTGATCACTCCCTACCACTTGATCTCACTCGAGGAAGTAGGTTTAAGTTAGGGTTTAATTCATTCAACGGATTGATCTAGTTACCTTGGGAATTGGTGTGTCGTCTTAATATAGATTGCTAGGAATAGTCAATCTCATCTCATATTTTCACAAGATTCATTCATAAATGCTTTCTCGGTAACTAAGAATAGCAACTAGGGACCCCATTAATGTAGGGATGTATTAGTGGATCATTACACTTGGACCATAATAATTTATTTTTTTTTGTGAGAAGGAATACCCGAAGCCGCTACCATTTGGGTGCGCAAAGGGTAAAAACCCCGTTCCTATGCAATAGGTCGCAAAGCACACAGAAGAGGTAATACGAACTAGACAAGCCCGGTGCGACGAGCTCAACCTAGAAGGTAAACTCCTCACTTTCACTGGCAAGTCGTTTAGAACTTGAGACTTCCAAATGGAAGTCCTACGCCCAAACCACTGGGTCATCCCTAAGGGTAGTTGGACCATAATAATTACCAAAATAAGTAGGCTAATTAGGCAAAAACCCATTAATTAGGCACGTAGAGGGGATGAAGAATCTAGGTTTTCCATAATTGAAGTAAATTACTAAAGTACTTCATTTAATATCCTCTAGTTTAATCATTAGTTTCCTTTTTCTTTTTCTTTTTTTTTCTTTTTGAAACATTAAGGGGTCGTTTGTTGTGATGGATAAGAATAAATAGTCTTGGGAAAAAAAAATAGTCATGGGATAAAATTTTATTGTCTTGTTTGGTTGACATGTTTGGGATAACTTATCCCACTATTTATATCATAGTGATGGGATAAGTTATTCCATATGCATGGCGAGATAACTAATCCCGAGATAATTAATCTAGGGATAACTTGTTCCCAATAAACCGACTCCTAAGGGTATGTTGGTCACCTCCAAAAAGTTTCACAAAGAGGTAGGGCTCTAAATTTACAAAGCACCTATAAAATCTATAAGATCAACTACTTCTTGTATATAGTTCTCTTTACACCAAAAATATAGAGAAACTATACAATTTCATTTCAAATCATGAATGGAGTTAATTTTATCTACAAAGCATCTCTTTTTTACTTGATCTCACTTGAGGTAATTAAATCCTTCTTAAAACAAGATATTTGGCATTATACAAGACTCTAGTATATAGACTTAAACTTATCTACCTCGTACTCAATGTGGCTTATGACTTGGACATTCTCTAGGTATTGTGACAACCGTTTTTTTCTTTTAAGAGCTTGGTTGGGCATTATCACAATTGGTTGTCATTGTGGGAGCAATTGGTGACTTAGACATAGTCTATTACTTTTGTTGCATATTTTGGACCAATGTTTATTTTGTGCTCATGTGTTTTAAGTACAATGATTGCAAATTTAAATCCTTTTGGTATTTTTGCATAAGAAAATGTGATCCCGGTGAACTATGCAAATGTAATAGTCCCACGAAATTTGTACAGTGTCCAAGCGAAACGCTATCTCAAATGATCCTATACATTTAAGGTTATTTCCATTTTCCCTTGTGGAAAACATGGTTGAATGATCTACCTCCTAGGTCCATTTGAACTTGGGATGAGTTGCTTGAGAAGTCCTAATTGACACACTTGCTCTAATATCAGGTGAGAAATGAGAAAAGAAAATAGAGAATTGAAAGAAAACGCAAATGATTGTTTCTCTCAAGCTACTGATTTAAATAGTTAATGCGCAAGTGCTAAAATAGAAAAGAAGATTATCATTCTATATTTCTTCCACAAAAAAGTTAGTACACAAAAGCTTAAGCTTTGGTGACATTTTCCCTAATTTGCATGCGAAAATTTTAGGCCCATTAAATTAATTCACTTGCTACATGCTCAATAGATGCTCTTTTATATTTGCAAAAGTCAAGCCACGGTCGCACCCAAGGGTGTCGCCTAGTGGTCAATAAAGTGGTTGAGGGTCATGAGGTCTCAGGATCAAATCCCAGCAAAGGAAAAAAACACTAGGTGATTCTACTCATATGTTCGAGCCTAAGTGGACAGAGTTACCTGATACATGTTGGTGGGAGGTGGATGATACCCCGTGGAACTAGTTGAGGTATGCAAAACCTAGCCCTGACACCACGATCATCGAAAAAAAGCCATTGTGACAAAACTACCAAACGACGCATTAATGTGTCGCTAGAGGTGCATTTATTGCAATTAAGAAGTGTAATAAATGCATACACTTTGAAATCAAATTCACACACATCTAAAGATTTTTGAAGTGTATTTTTTTATCATCTTAACACAGTCAACCTTCTTTCCACAAAAAAAAGGGTAGGTACAACAGTACTGAGTACACATGTTAAAATGCAGCATTTCAAATAAGATTGAAATCTCTAAACAAGGAGAAACATGGCCCAACGTGTAAAATTTATACAAAGCTCAACCTAGCCTTTTAAGCAGTTGTAGCTTGTAGGTGATTGAGCTCCCATCCTCTCATGAGCCTCTTCAACCAAACTGCACTGATCAAACCTTACAAAGTTTGAACCTGGCTTGCTTATTCCTGAGTGAGTGGAGATGGAAAAGACGCTTAGTGCCATAAGGAAGTCGGAAGTTCACATTTGTCTTTGGAATCGAAACAACATCCTGGTAAATCCTATCTGTCCTTAACTTTCCCATCAATCATAACTTGCCATTGCATCAAGATAAGGATGACCTCATGGTATGTAAAAACATATTTCAACCTGTTCCTGATGATAGTAATCAATGTAATCATTCCCTTGATTTATGTGGACCAAAAGAAGGCTTGGGAGCAAAAGCACCTCCAAGCTTATCAAGCATCAATACTTCGGCCCATTGACTCTTCAAATGTTTCTTCAACCTTCTTGCCATTAAGGCTATGGACTATTAAAAAATGTCAACAGTTGCGTGTCATTCTCCAAAATTAGTGTATATTTGGAAATCGACACGGATTGGACAATCAAAAGTGAAGAGTCCACGCAACTTTGCATTTTTTTGGGAGAATCTGACATGGGTGCAGCATCGAAAGTAAAGACATTTAGGTATACAAAGCATTTTAACTCATCATATAAAACATTTAGGTTTGTGTTTGCTATGAAGGAAAATATTTTTCAATAATCCAATGATTGGTTGGTCAAAATGTTATAAAAGTTTCATTCCTTTTGAAAATGATAATTGGTATATGGGTTGTACGGCAACCATATTCACAAGTGAACTCAAGAAGATAACCTAATCTACATCTAATTTGACTCTAAACATCAAAATAGAATCAGTATCAAAACGGTAATAGACAATTCCACTTGATCTTTTGCACACAATTCTCTGTAACCTCAAAGCATCTGAAATTTCCTTCCTGATTGTTCACCAGATACTACAAAGGACAATTCTCCATCTACTATTATACTTTGTAGAGATTCTGCTTCCACCAAACACTGTAAAGCTTCTGTGATCTTACCAGGTATAATTCGGAATATGCCTTTATGATTAATGAAAATTCTCCAAAGTTGTTCCATTACCTAGCAGTGTAGAAATGGATGGCTAACTGTCTCAAGTTTAACTCCACATAAAAAGCATCTGGAACACATTGAGATCCCTCTTCTTATTAATTTGTTCTGGGTAAGGACAACTTCTTTTGTCAAAAGCCATTATCTCCTTCATTTCTCATTATGCACATGGTATCAGAGCCGAAGAGTGAGTCCCTCCTCTAAATTGTTCAATTCTTCCCTTCTTTGAGCTCCTTTTATTTGTGTCCAAAGAAAACCGAAGTCCAAATTAGGGAAATATTATACAGGCAAACCTATGGTTCAATTCTTTTCCAACTCCCCCTCCACTTCAATCTACTCCAGACAACTTTGACCAAATCTCTCGCTTGTTAATTAAGTTATTTCTAGTCATGCAAGCCAATTAATTTGTATTTCCTTTCTAGTGTATTTTCATAGATATATTAACTCAGGAACTGAGTACATAAAATAGTTCCTCAAACCTGAATTCGTGATGCTGGTCGTTCTTTGCATTTAAAGAATTCTGAATTTTGGAAAGCCTGCTTAAGTAAACATAGCACAATTTGCAAAACAAAAACAGTATTTGCTTTTTTTCATTTATATTAATCTGATAAGCTACTGAATAAAACATCCCACAGTTTGGCCCAAAAAAAACAGTATAAAGCATGATTGAAAAGGTTGCTCCGTATATACAAAATTGCAACTAATAAGGTTGTAAATGACAAAACCTTACATGTGAAGTTCTGATCTTCATCTCCAGTTGATCGTGCAAGTGCTGCAATACATGGAGAAAAATGTTGAATCGGAAGTGATACTCCAGGAAGGAAGACTACGTTGCAATATTCGTTGATGCTATAGGATTAGATTCGAAGTGGAAGGAAGAGGAGAAATTTGGTTAATTCAGACTAACAATAATGGTCCTTTGTATGTTGACTCTAAAGGAAGACACAAAGGATTCATAAAATTTCCTCAATGTCTAACTATGATGATCCTCTGAATATTGAAAATAGCATAATGACTACAAGGATAAAGGTTCCCTCAATTGGTTGTGACTAAGAAAAGTTGATTGATTCATCCATTTGTAGATTTTGCAACAACCAGACCTCCATAGTATAATAAACTCAATTAACTGAAAAAGTTCTAATAACATCAAACTCTGAACCAGGCAGATTCTAAGTAGAACAGAATTCAAAAAATTACAAATGATGTAAGTCTAATTTTCCTCAAAGCACGGAAAAGGTAACTGAAGATACAACATTCAGCCAGACCTTCAGATTAGTCGGGCATAAAAAGACCTCAAGCAATGACCCCCATCAACATATAGCAGTGCTACTAGCATGTCAAGCATGATTTACAGCAAAAGAATAGATAATGATGTTTTACAGAATGCTTTTGGGATTAGACATGTTTAAACGTTTATTGCATCTTTGCATACACGACTTAAAATTAATTTTCAGGATTTGAAAAATGATGACATTTTTGTGGGTAGCACTCTTGCCAAAGCAATGTTTTTCCGACCAAAGCAATGTGTCCAATACAAGTGTTGTGCCATATGCTTTACAGTTTTACTGAAGAACTGAACAAAGAAGAAGAAGAAACTCATAAGATACTAAAGATCCAAACAATATGCATGTAAATATTTAGATCAGTAAATATATGAAAAAACATACCGGACCTTTTAACTCCTCAGAGATTATTATATACCTCAAGGACTGTAAACAACATGATCTAGAGAGAGTCAGTACTTCTTACTAAAGCACTACCCTAATCCTTTGTAATCAATACCTTCACATTGTTGGTCAGATTAGAGGCACTGGCCACACGAGGAAAGACACCATATTCAGCCAATAATCCAATCATGGATGACATAAAAATATATTTGTCATCCTCCGTATCCTGAAAAAAGAATAAAACTTCCAATAAACGAGATCCTAGAGAAGATACAGATAGATGATACAACTACTATATCTCAATCACAAGCTAGCTGGGGGTGAGCAGTATATACAGTTCTCCCAAGAAATATATTTCTCACAGTGGCAACCAATATTGTGCAGTTACATCAAGAACCACAAGTAGAGAAATAATTTTTAAATATTGAAGCTTATATTCCCAATAAAAAAGGGACAAGAATTCACAGTCAACGTAGGTTGAATGCGACTCTACCAATACCTATCTCCTCTGATTTCTTACCTTTAACTCATTCACCAATCTTAAGTTTTCTTCAAGATCACCTTTCCTCCGAGTCAGTTCATTTGAGGCGGATATTATTGCTTCGTTCTGCTTCTCATCTAGTGCCTATGAGTGCAAAATAATAACTCTAAAATAATGTATAGAACAAAAATATTAAACAAGTAAATTCAGTCACAAGAAAGACAAACCATGCGTAGTTCAGAAAATTTCTTCTCAAGTCCATATTTCTCATTCAAGAGCTGTGATTCCTGATCCAACGGTGACAACAAAATGTTCTTAAGTTAAAAGTTGAACCATAAGTATATGAACTCTGAAGTGAAAGGCAAAAATGTGCAAAAGACCAAAGGGAAATGGCACACCCGAATACTGGCAAGAGCAATCTGTTCCCGAAGATATAGGATTTCTTCTTGTTGTGCTTTCGCACGTGAATACAGTTCCTGAACACAGATTTATACAGCAAATCAACGAACTGTAGTCTCCCTTCAAACTGAAAATTGTATTCTGTACAAATTTAGAGAAGCTACCATAACTTCAGGATCCTGAGAGTCATTGATGGTGTCATTTCCCTTCAAAATCTTCGGTAAAGAACTCATCCCAAAATTTTGCCTGCAACTGTGATGAATTAGTGGCCGTACACACTCGACCGAAAATTCCCACCATAATCTAGCTCATGGATTACCTGTTTGCCAAATCAGAGCTTTGCCCTTGAACTCTTACATCTTTTTGCCCATTAATAGAGCTAATAGGGGAATACATGTTAGACAACTATTTTCAGGAGAGGAAGTCAAATAAAAAGTAGTCAACTAGGTCCGACATCATCGACCAGTTCCTTGCATATCCCAACCTATTCTGATTCACAAAATGCTGAAGCACTTCCGCTCTTCCAGAAATAATAGCAAGATATAAAAGGCAGCAACTAAACTAAAGGAATACACAACTGATACATGTGATAGGTTGGGATAACGGTACTCACTGATACAGAGCCTTTTGGTCTTATAAAGCTATGCTGAAGGAATCTTCAACGAGTAAGAGTGATGGGGCTTGTGAGAAGTTTGAGCGTCCTAAATGTCTTCTATTTAGGCTAGCTTCCTCTTGGACCACGAGGTGATCAAGATCTGGAGTTACAGCTACCTCTTTCCTCCGATCGCCGCCGACCTTGTGAAGAAGACGAAGGAGGTGAAGTTAGTTTTGCCTATTTTATTATTTTTCATTTGAAGAAAGAAAGCAAAAAAAAGTTTAACTACCGCAGAAGTTTAAGGAAAACTGGCGCAAAGTAAAAGAATTACTCCTTATTAGTTAAAAAAACCTTCAAAAGAAAAATTCAGGCAAAATTATTTATATAATAATAAATATAAATTAGATTGAGAATCCCTTATTAATCACAACAAACCGAAATAGCAATTGGGTATGTTTACCTTTTTTTTAAAAAAATGTGGAAGAACGAGTCACCAAGGCTTTCAATCTCCTATTAATATGTAGGAACGAAAGAAAGAAGAAGTTCCTCAAGCGTTTTATTTTTCTACCAAATCAAATATAGGTTATTGCAAATTTTATTTATTATTATTAGTTTAACAATTTTTTTTGACTAATTCAAATTCATAGAAAGAAATAAATCGTGTGAATATAAAACTCCCTTCATTTCTCTTTTTTGACGAAAACTATTAAATATCTTCAAATTAAACAACAATTAAGGAGAATGATATTATTAAAAGGAAAATGATTAAATGTATTTGGTGTCATAGAAAATATTTATAAGATAACTTGATATTTTTTGCTGAAAATTATTTTATGTTTTTTTTATTAGAGAGTAGAAAATGTTTTTTTCAAAAAAATATTGAAGATTGATTAAAAAATGGTAGCAAATTAAATAGGGTTCTTTAATGGAGTATTCAAATGTTTTATGTTTAATATTATGATGAGCTTTATAAATGGAGTATTCAAATGTTTTATGTTTAATATTATGATGAGCTTTATGTATATATACTAGTTTTGACGCACGTGCGTTGCACGTAAAAATCAAATCATGTCTCACATTATTTTTAAAAAATAATATGAATATTGCTAAATAAAAAATTAGGGACTCTTAAAATTTCTCAGTTACACCTTTTAAATAAACTTTCTACTTCCTTCCCCAATAATGCATTACTTTGTTATTATTATTTTGCATGTGTTTTTACTTTTGATCTAAGGGATAATGCACAAGTACTTTCTCAATCTGTGCCCGAAATCTCAGAGACACACTTATACTATACTAAGGTCCTATTACCCCCTGAACTTATTTTATTAATAATTTTCTATTCCTTTTCTGTCTACGTGGCACTATCTTGTGGGCCCAATGTTAATTGACTTTTTTCTTCAAACTAGTGTCACGTAGGCCGAAAATAAGTAGAAAAGTACTTATAAAATAAGTTCAGGGGGTAATAGGACCTCAGTATAGTATAAGTGTGTCTCTGGGATTTCGGACATAAGTTGAGGGGTACTTCTGCATTTTCCCTTGATATAATATAACATATAAAAATAATGATATAAAATATAGAAGATGTACTAAATTGGATGTTTTAGTTTAGTATTAGATTAATTTAATATTCATATTATGGAGTGTTTTAATTTTACTGAACTTTGAGATTGTCAACATTTTGTAAATAATACTTGAAGTTTTAAGAAGAGAAGAATAGAAAATATAAAAAATCGTAGTTAAAAATTGTGAGAAAACCCCTCCATTTATACTTAAAGTATTAGTATGTGCATATTGAATCTTATCATAGAAATATAAAAGATATACTAAATTGAGTGTTTTAAGAATAATAATAATTATTATTATTATTATTATTATATTTTTCTAAAATATAGTTTAAAATTTGATGAAGCCCTCTTTATATGGCCAACAAGGGTAGTGTACGAAAAACAACTTGTGGTGCCTCATCAAAAAGAAGTCACAACTCTTTAAAAAAGTCACAACCCTTCAGAAAGGTCAAAATTCATCAGATTAGTCATAACTCTTAGAAAAAGTCGCAAACCTTCGAAAAAGTCATAACTCTACGGAGTTGCAATCCTTCGAAAAAGTCACAACTTTTCAAAATGGTTGCAACCCTATAGAAAAGTCCCAACCCTTCAAAAAGGTGACAACTCATCAGAAAAGTTATAACTCTTCGAAAATGTCAAAACCCTTCAATGTGAAAAGTTATTTGTCATTAATATAATATAATACACATAAATAAATATAATGAAATATAAAATATTAGGTAATTTACCCGCGCTTTTGAACAATCTTTCCAATAATCATTGTTATAAGAAAAAATATGTAAATTTATGTAGGTTGTTAGCACATTTCTAGAAAAACTAAATAATTTGACATTATCTCATATCTCAAGAATTATAAATATATAATTAATGATTAAAAATATCTTGATATCTAATTATTTTTTATCTTTTACATATTGTATCATATTATATTTGATGATATAACCATCTTGTTAAAATTGAGTGATGTTTTTATGTCACGACCCAAATCCGGGCCGCGACTGGCACCCACACTTACCCTCCTATGTGAGCGAACCAACCAATCTAAACCTTATCATTTCGATGTAATATCAACATAAAGTAATGCGGAAGACTTAAACTCATTAATAAAATCAATAACTATTATTATTCCCAACATCTGGAAGTCATCATCACAAGAACATCTATAATCAAATTACTAAACTAAGAGTATTCTAAGAAGCTAAAAATACATAAGAAGCTAGTCCACGCCGAAAGTTCAAGGCATGGAGACTTGAAGAAGAAGATCCAGTCCAAGCTAGAAACATTAGCTCACCATGAATTTCCGATGTAGTAAGACTGGCTTGAATTACTGTTGAGTCGAAGAT